TTCTTTTTTAAAATTGTTCATCTAATGATAATAAAGGCATAAAAAAAAAAAGTTGAAAATAAAAAAATCATTCTAAAGCCTAGATCTAAGCATCTCGCCAAAATGAACAGCCTATGTTAATTGGGCTAAAAAAATACTTTTTAGGTTGTGTTTTCAATTTTTTCTTTTTTTTGTGATTGTTCATTAGAATGAAAAGAGTGTATATTTCAAAATTTGGATCAAACAAATGGCCATAAAATGGGTTTTTAAGGTTGTTGCATCATATTACTATACTATTGTTGCATGAAATCATTGCTCAATAAACCTACGCTTCTAAAAGAACCATGTTTGTGGTTCTCTTTTCCTCACTCATGAACCTCTTCCTCTCTCTCTCTCCCCTCCCTTTAACCTGGAGGGAGTTTATGGGTTGACCCTAGGGGTTATTTGGGACTATAATTTGAAAGGCGGGTACATGTCTTTGTTCTATTAAGTACTAGTATCTGGGTTTAGTGTGACGTGGTGGTACTTGGCTTTAGAGAGGTAGTTTGTGTGTTTCCAATCGTCTCATTAGTGTAGGATTATGGTCAGAAGTTGGATACACAAAGAACTGCTTTGTTTTGTGATTCTTGACATGACGATAGTGGCATTACTTTGATAACTGTACAGAAAATTTAGGTAAGCAATATTGTGCTGTTTTCACTCTCATTGTTCTTTTAATGCATGGGTGGCGATGTGTGCCATATGCAGTGGTTCTATGTGGGTTACACCTTTTGTGCTCTTTGCTGTCTTTCTGATTTTGCTCTCTATTTACAACATATTGTATACCTCTCCCTCTCTCACGCTAAATAATAATAGTCGTGGGGGCAATAAGGATGGTCCCATTGTTTTTGCCTGGTAGTAGCTCTGAATTTTGTCTGCATTCTATTTTTTTCCCCTTATCATGCAAAATCTTGAATGGTTTCTTTGGGATATGGGCTGTAATCCCTTCTAAGTGGTCCTTCTAACCATGCTTGTTTTGACCATTGAAGGAAAAATTGGGTGATCTAACCGGTAACTGTTCGGTTGGATCAGAACCGGTCATTGGTCGGTTCCAGTTTCAATTGGTTTTGGTGACTGGTCGGGTATTTTTTGAAAAATAAATATACAAAATCCCAAAAAATATGGGATTATGTTTGTAATATATTTTTTTAATATTTTTATTATTATGGCAGAGAATGAAAATTGTTTTACCCATTCATACTTATTTTTACATTTTCTCTTTTTAAAAAATTTAAAAAATTCCCCCAAGTAAAAATCAAATTTTAAAATGTAAATTTTTCATTAATTTTTAACTTCATTTGGGTGTGCTTTCTTTAATCATTTGTTAAATATAATTTTTATATTTTATTAGATTTGTTTTGTATTTTTTTAACACTTCTTTGACTTTTAGGGACTTGTTTGATTCAGTGTTCATAAAACTGGCCGGTTCGAACCGGAACTGGAACCGGCCAGTTAGATCGGTACTGGCAAGGTACTGACTCCGGTTAAGGCCGTTTTTGTGGTCGTAATGAATAGAAGCTGTTCTCCAAAAAAAACGGGCACCAAAATTGGCCGGTTTGAGGTCGAACTGGTGGTATTTACTCTAAACCGGTCGGTTTTTCCTAACCGAAGTTTTAACGCCCGAGATAATGTCGTTTTCAATGCATCAAATAACGGCCGTTATTTGACACAAGCCTCGTTATTTTTCACAGAACCCGTGAATAAACCTTTTACGGCTTTTTTTATTCCAGTTTATGGGGATTTTGTTTTTTTCGGTCAATTATTGATGTTATACACCGGAAATGTTCTATAAATAATCGATTATTGAATCAAAAGTTGAAAAACGAAGAGTTCTTGGCGGATTAAAATGGGGATTTTTGAAAATTGGAAATTTATGCGATTCTATCAAATGTAGCTTCAATACCTCATAGATGGAGGGCTTTGATTCATTGTTGAAGGATTCAAGGTTTACATATTTCAAAATTTCCAAAACGATCAATATTTGAGGTTTTTTTGGGCCCGAAGTACTGCTGCTTGAAGAACTTTTTTTTATCCAAACAAATTGATTTCTGATCAATCAATTGATCGATTTTTATTGAATTGATTAGTGAAGTTTTATTATCAAGGCATCATCTATCAAATAACTAGTTATTTTGATTTACTATTTGATTAAATGTGTTTATATCGATTTGTTTTTTGCTGCATTTTTTTTCCTGAAATTTTCGTGAAGTGAAAAATCCGCAATTTTTTGAAGAACGATCTCAATATTGAATAGATCTTCATGAAATTTGGGGCATTTGAATCTTAATTGAAGTATCTATCATATCTCCATGTCAATTTGTTAAAAATATAAAAGATTTGGGGTTGATTTATTCTCTAAAAGTTATTGTATTCTTTGGCTCGATTTTAGAGTTCTTAAAAAATAAAATTGTTTTTTAATAAAATTACATTTTGTTTTTATAAAAGTATGTTATTTGTGATGAATATGAGAAAAAGAATTATTTGTTTGTAACTTTATATATTTTTGATGGGCTTGTTGGATTGTTTTGAACGTTAGATATATTTTTTACAAAAATATGTTTTTTTGTGATGAATATGAGAAAAATATTTCTTTCCTTTTAATGTTATATATTTTTTGTGAGCTTGTTGGATTGTTTTTATTGTTATATTTTTCTTTTATAAAAATATGTGTTTTTGTGATGAATATGAGAAAAAATGTATTTCTTTTTAGTGTTATTTTTGGTGTATGGTACTGTTGTCTGTATTCTCAAATTCTTGTTTGGTTGTAACATTTTCTTTTAATTTGTTTTTTTATTTGTTACAAGCTATCTATCATTTGTTGCAACTTCATACTCCTTAAATCTGTTTATTAGCCTCTATGAAGAAAAGAGAGAGAAACTAAAAAGTCTTTTACTCATCTCTCACGTTTCCACATCCTTAAATGGATAAAAAATTAACCTATTTGTTTTTTAAATATGCATCGTAATTGTACATTTTAAAATTGCCATCTTATATAATTTTTTTCCATGTCAAACCCCAACTCAAAAGGTTCCTGAGTAAATGAGGTTTGGCCATTTCAAAATTGACTTGGCCATATTTTTTAAAATATGTGATTTTGGCCATCTGCACTTAACACCTTGACCCACACCCTGCATTTGATAACCAAATTACTGAGTAAATGAGTATAAAGGATCCGGGTTGTAATTAATCGTTGAATATTTCAATTCAATACCAATACATAGGGTCATCCCTTCCGGAGTCCTATATATGGATTTCTTCCTCTATCGACGAGGTCAACTCCATTTGTTGGAACAGCTTCCGTTGAGTCTCTGCACCTATCCTTCCCGCTTTCTAGGAACCCTTGTTTTCTTTAAACAGGATTTGGCTCAGGATTGCCCATTTATCATTCCAAGGTTTCTCTGAATTTGGAAGCTACCACTTAATAGGTTTTCATACCAAGGTTCAATTCAATTAAGTCCGCAGCATCTACCAATTGCGCCATATCCCCTTTTGAGTAAGACCGGGGTCTTACTTCCTTGACTCACAACCCTTTGAAAAATTGGGAACATCATGCTATAAAAAAAAATACGCTCTCAAACCCAATTCTAAACCATATTAAAAGGTTTTTCAACATTAAAACAACCTTTTTCAATATCAACATTAAAACAGTATAGAAGCATATATTGTTGCAGCATCTATTGTTAGTTAGACTTTGTAACTTCATCAATTGAATTCATGTGAAATTATAAATTGTCTTACATATCTCCATAGTACTCAAATATTAAATTACATAAGAAGTTTTTCAAATTTTTTTATAAGATAAATGCATGTAATATGATAATACATACTTAACCTAAGGGCTTTTTTTTTTTTTTAATTATTTGGGGCTTTTTAACCCTTTTTTTTTTAAAAAAAAATCTAGTTGATCGGTTAGTCTGTTTAACCGCTCCGATTAATCTAGTTATGGTTCGAATCGCTTCCAGCTTCATGACCAGTTAACCATTCCGATTCGATTTTACGAACACTGGTCTAATTAGAACGGTTGAATCGGCCGGTTTATCGATTACGCCAATTGAACTACTTATGGACCCATGCCCGGTTAACCGTTCCGGTTTAATTTTTCCTACATTGATTTTAATTAGGTGTTTTGCATTATATGGTTGAGTTTGTATCGTCCGCGTTGTTTCTTTGTAAGTCGCAATTGAATTAAATTTTTGCACTATTTTGATGTTGCAATCTCCATACCCCCTAATTTTTAATTTCATTTCAAAACAGACCCAAAGTTTTAAAAGACATCTTGGGGCATAAAAATTATAAATTTTATTTCTTCTAACCCCTTGAGCTAATTTAAACCAGTTTTTTTAGACCAAATAAGTCTAAAAAAACGCGCCTTTTTAAAAGCTATCCTCTCAAACTTCTAGAGAGAAGGATTTCATGAAGGTGAAAAGTTACCAAGAGGAGAGATAGATGTTTGGATAAACACAGGAGGAGAAAATAAGTGAGAGACACATAAAGAGAGAAAAAGAAAAGTTTAAGATATGTAAATGAAGAGAGGATTGAATTTAAAAAGAGCATATCTTTCTTACATTTGTTTAGGTTAAAAAATAAGTTCAAAATAGCCACGAGGTTAGAAGATATCTTTTGAAACCTTGTATTAATCAAGACATGAAACCTAAAAATAAAAGATATGGAGATATTTTCCTTCAAATTTTTACATTATTTACATTGTCTTTGCATTGTCATTTGAAGTGGAATTCAAACGGTGGATACAAATTTGATAACACTAGACCTCTTGATCAACCATTGTCATTTTCTGGATCAGTGATTCAGAACCCAGGTACACTAGGGTCCACATCTTGAGTCACCATGTCTGACTCGATAAAGTAAAGAGCGAGTTTGGTGATTTTTTTAGTAAAGAGAATCATAAAAAGACATCCATGGTCCTATCTCCGAAATCGCAAGGTCCTGATACTTGCACCGATTGTTTCTTTGTTGGGTACATCTAATTCAAAGGTAGGCATTGCATTGGTGGTGGCTTTGCTTACTGGCCATATGTAGTCAGAGACAAGAGAGAGAGAGATTACCATTCGTAGTACATTCATCACAAATACAATTAAAAATGCATCCATAGGAGCAGACAGACTCTCTATCCACAGGTCATACAGAAATACAGGTCACATAACATTCACGAGAGACCTACCAAATGCGGCGATGTTACATCACGGAAGGCATTTCATCCGCTGCAAAAGGGCACAATTTTTACTCAGTGATAATTCATGGGTACAAAATTTCTACACATTATGGTATTGCGAACAACTTCGGAAAACTGCCTATACTCACCTGTCGTTCGATTTCGAGAGTAGACTCAGATAGTCTTCTCTTCAAAATGGACCTCTCGTGCTCACACCCTAACCCTGATTCTTTCTCCTCAATGTCTAACAGAATAAATTACAAAATAAGCCAGCATCTCTAGAAAGTTTTTTTATAACATCTATGAAGTAATTGCAAAAGTTTCTCCATGTAAAATTAATGGGAGAATAGGAAAAAGGAACACTAATGCAAAAAGGAGTATATTGAACAAGAACACCAGAAATTGTCTGTGCTCAATCTTACTATAATAGTACGTTGATAGAATAGTGATTCGCTCCATTGGCTGGAAGACCAAAAGGACAATAATTAGTGCTGGTCCTCAATATACTTATTATGAAAGACAATGGTTCTTATACATACAAGACATCATGGGAAACTTCTGTCTTCAAGTAGATAATATGTGTCTGGATGCTAACAACCGTTCAATCTTGATAAAACAGCGGGAACGAGCCGACGACAATATGCCATATTATAGTCCTACAAGAACAATTGGAACTAGTATATGACATTGGTGTCAGCTTACTCCCAACCGTCTCATCGCCAAACTAGTATCTGACATTGGTATCGGCTTACTCCCAACTGTCTCATCTCCAAACACAAATTGAATGTATGTGGAAGAACATAACCAAAAAACATACCATGACAAAGATACCCTCTCTACGTGTAGGCAGCTCTTCAAGTTTTCTTAATGTCTCATCACCGCTAGTTACTTTACCGAATATTGCATACTACAAAAGGTAACCAATAGATCAAAACCAAGTTAACGGACAGAGACCATTTCATGGAGATGCTAGTGAACATATATGGAGAATACCTCTCTATCTAGATGGGGAGCATCACCTAGAAGGATGGAAAATGAGGATGATGCACTATTTGGATCAGAATACCTACAAAAGGGTAAAAGATGATCAAGGAAATCATTTCATTTTTAGACATCCAGATATGATAACCAGCCAAATATTGAGTTAAAAAATAGCACCAGACCAAATGTGCTTTTGTTATCAATATCCATATCACTAAAACATGAAGAGAAAATAAATTAATAAACACACGCTTTGATACAATATGAGATATAAATCATAAGCCTACATTCATGGACATGCTCATTATGCATGAGGATGTGCATGTTATTGTATATGATCATTCCCTACTGGACCTAGAAACCCTTCTGATTTTTTTTTCTTGGTGCCAGGGGTCGTTGCAGATTGTTAAAGATACGGAATTCTAGTTACCAACACTGCCTCAAAGAACTTAAGTTTGACTCCTAAGTCACAAAGCTTGGTTTATTCAAATTTTATTATTTGAAGTTCTCAACTTTTTTGAGAAATTTCTATTCCACTGATTAGCACTGATAATAAAAACTTTATCAACATGTTGGGAAACATATATCTATTCAAGTGAGTACTTCAGGGTATGCAAATTTCCCAAAATGTGGCCCATTTCATAGTTTCTGGTGAACAGGATTGGGAGCGGTTCTGGGATCAGATCGAGGGTGAGAGACCGTAAAAGGCTAAAAAGTCCCTTAGGTTCAGATCAACGTCTGCACACCCCAAAAATTAGGAAATTGAGATTCCAATATGTTGGGGAGTTTGATCCCAATTTCCTGGTTAACTGCACTAAACTAGGATTCCTAGGTCGGGAGCACAGTCCATATAATATCATATTTTTAAATGAATTTTTAACAATTTATTTTAAATTTATTATTTTAATATTTCTAAATTTTATTTATAATAACTGAAGTTTTAAAAATTTCATTATCTTATAAAAAATATAAGAATAGAAATTATATTATAATAATTTAACATTTTTATGAAGTAGTAAAAAGTTTAGAGATCGGAGCTTTGTAGAAAATTAAGAAAATCTAACAATTACACTATTTTAATTTTTGCATTTTTTTTGTAGTTTATGAGTTTACGTAATGTAATATCAATTAAGGCCATCCTTCTTCATTGAATAGTTAGTATTAAGGTACCTCATGACCTATTAAAGAACCCAAAAGGGACTATATAACCAAACACCACCGGAATTATGTGTATAAATACAACATGCAACAAATATATTATATAATAACTATCAAGGGCTCCATTATCTTATCAGCCTTAAACAACTCCACATTCAGAAACTTCTCCCATTGAGACTTCCACCAGAACTGGCAGGCCATACTCTTCCTAAAAGCCCATCTGCAGTTCTCGAGCTTCATTGTTGAAATCCCCAACCCCGGGACCTACCAAACTCAACTTCTATGATGTTCCTTACGCAACACTGGTGGGGCCGGTAAAGGGGGTATCTTTCAAGACCATGAAGGAAGGACCCTCTTTCCTATTCAAAGCACATTGGCTACACTGATTCGAACACAACTGCGATCCCCGCGCCCTTTTAGAGGATCTCAGAAACTTTGACCACGGGTGGGGTAGTACCTTGATTGTGGAGGGAGATTCCAAGAATGCCATCTCATGGGCTTCAGGCTCTGCCGAATGCCGGTGGAGATTGGCAACCTTTTTTGATGAAATAGCCCACATCTGTGGGGCATTTCACATCACTTAGCAACAAACACGGCGAAAGAAAACACAACAGCAGACAGACTGTGGGGCATTTCACATCACTTGGCAACAAACACGGCGAAAGAAAACACAACAGCAGACAGACTGGCAAAAGACGGAGCTAGCCAAGTTGATAACATAACGGGGATCACTGTTGCGCCTATGCAAGCTTAACTACTATTATTTTTGGCTGAACATGCATAGCTGTCGTGTTCTTTTTGTATAGAGCACCTCTAAGGGGTTTTTGTACATTTCATCCAGTCTGGGTGAACATTTTTACATCTTGTAAAACATATAAACTTTTACAATACAAGTTCAACAGTTTCAAAAACCATTGATATTATATAATAATTCAAAAAAACATTATGCAAAATACCCATTACTTAATTCTAAGTTGAAGCTCAAGGCTCAAACTCAAGATCTATTAAAGGGGGAAGAGGGACAATATAGTCTACCATTAAGGAAATCTTGATCCCACAGTGGTGGAACCTCGTTTCAGTTTCCCTATGAATCCTCAAATACGATGCAAAGGAATATGGATACCGTGTAACTCAATCCCTAGTAGGAAGGATTGAAAACCCAAAGTTTGAAGATCGCAAAGGAGTGAGATTCCCCTCCTTGGAGCGCAAAAGCAAGCTTTCAGAGTAGGATTGACCCCTTGGTTGGGAGATCCTGGTAAATATTGTTCATCTACCAAATTGTTAACTCATTGTTTGGTCATCACGTCTCTCTTCCTACAAGTGTTTTAAAATGCGGTTGCATCGCCGCATATGCGGCCGCATCATGCGGGATGCGCTCGCATTCGCATCGCGAACTGGCGCATATGCGCTTTTGACAGATGCGGCCGCATCATGGCTGCATCCTGCATCGCACCGCATCAGATCGCATCGCGTCGAATCTGTTTCCACAGAAAAGTTTTTCAATTTTGCCTCTCCGAGAGGGGCAAAATGGTCTTTTTGTAGTTCCAAAGTTTAGGGAAACTGTTTGGGGGGTTATTATGCCCCCTAAATGAAGATTTCCAGCCACTTTTGTGGCTTTTTTTGCATCAAATCGAAGGAAAAAAAAAATTTGGCGAAATTTTTTTTTTCATCCAAATCTTTGATTTGGCGGTTGTTTGATACTTGGATGTTCATTTGATGCCTTTGATTGTTGATTTGGGGATGTTAAGGTGAATTTGTAATAAGAAATTGGGGATTTCAGAAGCCGTGAAGAAATCGAGCACTACTTCACAGAGTCGGTAACTTTTTATTCCTTCTTGTACAATAATATTGTTATACTTATTTTTGGGGCAATGTCTTCTTCCCAATCTTCTAGTAACAAGGATCCGGCTTGAAAATATTCTAAACTAAAAAATCTGAAAGATAAAAATTGTGTGATATGCTTGCTTTGTGGAAATACTTATATGGGTGGTATTTTTCGACAAAAAGAGCATTTAGCCAGAATTTCTGGGAATGTAAGAGCATGGCCACAAGCTACAGATGATATAAGAAAGGAGATTAGAGAATATTTGGATAGATTGAAAAAAGATAAAGAGAAAAAAAAGAAGAAGAAAGGTATTACTTGATGATATGCAATTATTTGATGATGTTGATGATGATGATAATGATGATGATGATATGTCTGAAGTTGCTATGAGGCAACGGGGCACTCACACTCCAACCTCAAGAGAGAGGGTTATAAATATTGGTGGTAGTTCTTAGAGAAGAACACCTCTCTCTAATGGGCCAATTGATTCTTTTTTCACCCCTAGCCCCGAAATTGTGGTTCAGGAGAGAGAAAAAAACAAAACAAACCACAATTGACAATAAATATAAGAAAGAACAAAGGAAGTCGGTATGTAAGTGGATTGCAAAGTGGATTTACATGGCCGGCATTCCTTTTAATACTATAACTCTGGATAGTTTTGCATGTATGGTCCAGGCAATTGGGCAATATGGCCCAAGACTTATTCCTCCTTCACTACATGAGGTTAGGGAGCCCTTGTTGAAGGATGTTGTATTTGATGTGAATAAAATTTTGATTTCTTAGAGAGAAGGGTCGGAGAAATATGGGGCCACTATTATGTGTGATGGTTGGTCCGATGGGAAATCAAGGGCATCCATTAATTTTTTGGTTAACTGCCCAACAGGTACTTTTTTTGCTAACTCTATTGATGCATCAGACAAGTCACATGATGGTACATACTTATCTGGCTTGATGGATGAGATTGTTGATTTTGTTGGGGAGCAAAATGTGGTACAAATTATTACTGACAATGGTGCCAACTATGTTCCAACTGGGCATTTCTTGACTTTGAAAAGGAAAAATATGTTTTGGACTCCTTGTGCAACTCACTGTGTTAATCTTATGCTTAAGGAAATGGGTACATCTTTATTTAGTGGGGTGATTTCAAGAGCTATGTTTGTTGTTGGATTTATTTACAATCACACCATAGTCCTAAGCATGATGAGGTCTTTTACAAAGAAGAGAGAATTAGTGAGACCGGGTATCACAAGATTTGCCATGTCATTTCTCACTCTTCGAAGCCTAGCCGAGCTAAAAAGTGCCGTGAGGACCATGTTTGCTTTAGAGCAATGGAGTCAAAGCAAATGGTCAAAGCATAAGGATAGGAGAAAGGCTGAAAAAATTATTCTGAATACATCTTTTTGGAGTCAAATAATTATTGCATTGGAGGTGGCTCGCCCTTTAGTGAGAGTGCTTCGATTGGTTGCTGATGATGCGAAGCCCGCCATGGGCTACATACATGAGGCAATGAAGGGCAAGAACTGAAATAAAAGATGTTTTAAAGGATGATGAAAATATGCGCAAGGCTATACTTGAAATTATTGATAGGAGATGGGATACCCAGCTTCACAGGCACCTCCATTCAGCCGATTATTTTCTAAACCCATCTCTTCACTACAAGCACCCATCCATTGAGTCAGATCGTGTAATAAATGGTGGGTTCTTAGATGTGCTGGAGAGGTTGGTGTTAGATAAAGACATCCAAGATAAGATCCAGAGCCATGAATTGATTAAGTTCAAGTTAGCCTTGGGAAACTTTGGGAGAGATATTGCCACTCGAAATAAGGATACTACAGATCCAAGTAAAGGCCAAAAGCCCAAAAATAATCTTACTTGTCTCTTACTTTAAGTATAGTTCCATTGTTTATTTTATACCCTTAATTTTTAACTATATTCTAAATTATAAAATATTATACAGCGACATGGTGGGCATTATATGGAAGCGAGATACCAAGTCTACAACGTCTCGCTATTCGAGTGTTGAATCTCACATGTAGCTCATCTGGTTGTGAGCGCAATTGGAGTGCATTTGAGCATGTAAGTCCTTTACTCCTTATTTCTTAATCCTTATTTCTTGAATTTCAATTTTCTAATCTAAAATCTAATTTATCTGATTTCAAATTTCTACCACCGCTCCATACAAAAAAGAACAAATAGGTTGGAGCAAAAAAATTTGAATGATTTGGTTTATGTGCGGTATAACAAGCGGCTTAGGGAGAGGTATGAAAATCGCATGAAGCTCAATCCTATTCAATTATATGAAGCTGATGGTGATTCCATAAGTGAGTGGACCATGGATGCAAGACAAGAGCGTGTGTTTGAGGGTGAGGATCTTACATGGCTTGATGTCGAGCTAGCAACAGAGCCCAATGAAGAAGATCGACCTAACACTAGAGCACAAAGGAGTAGAGGAGCTGCTGGGTCTAGTTGCACTCGCACATTAGCTTCATAGGTCGAGGAGGAAGCTGACTCAGAGGAGATCGATGAAGAAGAATATATGGAGGCCGTCGAGGACGATATTGATGATGCACATGACGACTCTCAAGATGACTTGTCTGACTGATATTTGAAAAAAAGAAGTTCAATTTCAAAATTGACTCTCAAAGTGGATGATTGTATTAAGTTATTATTTATTAACTATTAACTCTTCTTGAGCTTGACTTTTGATTTGTATTTTGTAATATCATTATTTTGTGCTTATGGTTGTACTTATGGTTGTTGATGGTTGTGTTTAATTATAGTTGTGCTTATGGTGCAAATTTGTGTTGATGGTTGTTGATTGTTGAATGCTTTATGAAGTTGGTTTCAAGTTTCTAGTTTCTATCAGGAGATAGTGGGTAACTGGATACAGAATCTCCGACAGCTAATAGTTTTGAAGTTAATCATTAAACTAAAATACCTACTATCACATATATCACCTTCATATTTTTTTCCTATGTATTAACTTATTTTTTTAGATTTTTTCGAATTTTTTTACATTTATTGACTGCATCATCGCGATGCACCCGCATCCGGGCCGCATCGGTCCCCCCACCGCATCAGGGCCACATCCCGCATTTTAAAACACTGCTTCTTATGCTTCTTTTCATTCCACTTTCTCTGATCCTATTTCACTTCTTCGTACTCTTTCATTGTTCTCCTGCTTCTATTTCACTTTCTCCTCAGTTCATCCCTTCTGATCCTTGCATAAATAGGGCACTACTTATATATCGTCACAAAACCAATAAGTGGCACTTATGTACGTGCATAATGATCTAGGTCACAAGAAAAATCCCTTCCATCAACAGTGTCTCCAGTTCTGAGACAGTTCAAAGTAGTTTTCATGGATGCTCTTTGCCTCTTGCCATAACCATTTTCTTGTAGGCGCTATTTGGTAAGATAACAAGAGAAAACGACATGTTTTCTCAGTTAGCACATTTTTCCCTGCTTGGGAATGGGGAAAAGCGTGGAAACACGAAGCCCCGCATTTCCCTGTGTTTCTACGCTTTTCCCTAATTTTGAGAAAAACTGCAGCGCACCCCAAGGGTAGCGCTACTGATTTCTCAGGAAAAGGGGAAAACACAAGACCCCCCTTGTCCCCATTTTATTTCTCTAACCTCACAATCTCTCTCTCCTCTCAATCTCTCTTTGCCCGAGCTTTAGCCCAAGCTTTCTCCAGTTTTCACAAAAAAGGGTTCTTGGCTTCCAGCCAGAGTTTTCTAATTCTACCTCTTTCTCAGGCTTCCAGTTTATCAAAGATTCTCCAGGAAAACAGCTTTCTCAGTTACCAAACATACCCTTAAGTTCATATGTGATCTTTCTTCCTATATGCCAATCCCCTCCTAAAAGTACTAACAAGGATGCATTGCATAAAAAGCGACTCCAGTAATTCAGTAAAACCACACGTTCCATTCTAGTCCTCTTACGAATAAAATGAGTTTATAGGTAGTTCGTGGATGTGCAAGTTCATATTTTTTTATTGATTCTTAGGAAGCTCAACTAAGTCAGCCAATTTATTCAAAGAGCTTCACAACTATAAAAAACCAGGTTGACCACTGTATGAATCAAAGGGAAACCCCTTGGTTGATGCCCTGGATCCAAAACATCTACAACATTGAGTATGAGAGTTTGCATATCTGAACAGGTCCAAGACAGCCCATATGATACCACCTAATAAAGAACTTAAAAGATAAATGGAAAATGGATGAACATATGCTGCAAGGAAGGACACTCCATGACAATCCTCGTTTCAATCATATGGAAACCCTATGAGCACTAATTGTTCACAATGATAGATACTTTTGAACCCATTTTATGACTTTGAGACCAAAGTTCCCATATCACCACAAAATGCATCTCTCCAAATCACCTATGCATGCCACTATCACTTCTGCTTCTGTTTCATCCTTCTCAAATAACTAAGAGAATCTTATAATCCTATCTCACACATGCCCTCACAATCCCATCCCATCATTTTTACATGTCTTGTAGATCATTAAATATTGTCATCAAATACCGTAACTTCCTATCATTATATAGAATTGTTATCGATCATTCATCTCTCTTTTTCTTTTTCTTCTTTATTGGGTTTAGCAATGTTGACTAAATCATTCAACTCTTTCATGTCACAACATTCATAAAATCTTTTGTTAATACTATCTTATTTGTCTATCCCTTAGAATATTATTACTAAATTTAGCACTCATCCCTATGATATTAGCGTTTTGCTCTTTGTATACTCTTATATGCTTATTTGTACCATTGTCCCTTTTCTTACTCCTATATCACCTATTAGATTTTCTCATTTAAAGCCTTTGATACCCTCATGCACCTAATACACAATCACCAATATTATCTTACATGTCATAACACATTTCCACTAAGACCATGTATTAGATTTCTCGTTTAAATCCTTCGACACCCTCATGAACCTAATACACAATCACCAAGATTATCTAACACGCCATAACACATTTCCACTAAGACCATGTAGTCAAATGTCGGGATTCACAAATGTACCAAGCCCGAGTCAGCAGTTTCAACTTGGCCAAGTCTGGACAAGACTTACATGAGCCTATAAAATGATATGATAATGAGGACTGAGAAGGTAAACCTTGTCCGAGTCCCCAGTTTTTTGATTGGGACTCGCCAGGATCTCAAGCTGAGCTGACTCAGGAAAAGTTCTGAGTCAGTCCCTTGCCTAACTCCAACTTAATCCGAACAACTCCCAGACCTCTCTCAGGCACTAGGCGTCATTCTTGACATTAAAAAAATGTCATCGATCAAAGTGCAAGCATTCGAGGGAGCAACCGTCTTCTATCATTGGCATTCACAAGGCAACATTCCTACCATTCTCAAGGCCTTGCATTTTCATGAGTACATGATGTTGTATCCATGTATGCCATGTTCTAGTGTGAATTAACTTTTTAGATGTGGTTTTCTTTGCAGCATATTTATCTATAAGTTTAGTTGAGAGCATAATCAAAACAAATTTTTGAAAAATAGTTCAATTAGATTAACACAAAAAAGTGATTAATCTTACAAGCACCAGTGGTTGCAAAACTGGGAAACATTAGAAAGAAGCCATTTTTGAACGAAAACAACAAAGTCCCAAACATCTTTTTTCAGAAATGGAAGAGTTAAAATAAAGTTATAATTTTCTTTTACAGAAAATATGGTGGTAACTGTTTTAAAAATGAAAAGGAAATTGTTTTAGGAATAACAAGAATCAGGGTTTGACCTTGAACAAGAAATTAAATAACATATGCAACTCCAGGAGCCATTTCTTTTTTATTTATGTGCCTTGAGAGGAAAAGCATACGAACTTTCCAACTTAATATGTGAGAAGAAGGTTTAAACTTGTAAATAACAACACTTATCAATAATTCATTCATCTTTCTGAAAAGGAAATATTGAGAACTATGTTACATATCCATCTACCTACTCCATTGCTCAGATGGGTCCCAGTGGATTGAAAGTTTAAGCCTGAGATCAATACAGTGCACAATGCAAATAATAACAAACAGAAGAAGTTACTTGAATTCGGAAAAGAAGATAACGCGCCAATTCATAGAGCAAAGTAATCAGTGACATGACAGAACTGACCTTCCCATAGAGAGGATTCCTCTAACATGTTTCACATCACTGAATTCACCAACAACAGTTTTCTCAGCCTCCTCCCTTTGCACTTCATTCATAGGAGCTGTTCTACCACCCACCACATCCGCAACTTGGGCAACGAAACCCTTATCAACCTACCATAAAATTATTTAAGAAAGACAACTGCCCTTAATCACAAGTGAATAATTAAAAGACTATTCTCTTGGCGCAGATAAGAATCAATCTTTTTGGGTAGATAAAAGAATTAAAATATATTGACCAAAGAAAATAAGAACTAAAATAATATGCTCCCACATGCATCAAGGGGTTTGGTTAGATTTCTTCAAGGGAAATCATGCCTCCAGCAAAATTATGCTTTTCTTATCTTTCAAAAAGCTATACAACATCTACACCTAGGAGAAAAAACCAGGACTCATAACTCACATGGCTAAAGTGTTTCCATAACAGATTAACCCACACATCTAGTAGAGAACTCACAAATATCAATAAAATCCATAATGATCAACTACTAAAAATAGAAAATAACATTAATAGAAAGAATAGAAAGGGGGCTTGTCATTTCCCTCCTCAACCAAATCCTTGTTCTCAAAGATTGGAATCAGGAAAACCCACTGCACAATTGTATTGATCCTCCCATGTGGCATCTTCGGGTGGAGCATCCATCCACATATCAGATCCTGAGTCATTGCCTGGTTCCCTCATCAATCCAATATAGACTGCGACAATGCATGTAAAGCTCCATCATCAGTAATTTCTGGTGATTCGCACACCAATGCCACACAAGCATCTTCTTTTTAAGTAGGAGACATGAAAAAAGAAGTGCAGTTGTGCACCTTCTAACAGATGAAAGCGATAAGCAACTGGCCCCACATGCTCAATCACTTCGAAGGATCCATAGAATCATGATGAAAATTTCATAAACCTGTGAATGTGACCGATGATTGTTGATATTGTTGTATACGCAAAGACGCCCAATCTCTAATCTGACATTCAACTTCTGTTTTATTTTTCTTGCCTTGAGATTTCATTTAGTTTTGTCCCGGCAGGTTCTCCTTCAAAACTTGGAGAAGCTCATCCCGTTCGTAGAGCTTCACATCTACCTGATGAACAAGAAAGTCACCCGGTGTATAATGCCAATAGAATGCACGGAGACTGCCCACAAACAACCTCATACAGGTCATTGTGGCAGCTTCATGCTATGTGGTCTTGTACCATGAGTCAGCCCAAGGAAGCCAATGGACCCGCCGCTGAGGACGAGCACCTGTAAAGTGTCTCAACTATGTTTCTAAACAATGATTAACCACTTCAGCTTGTCCTTCAATGGATCAAATGTAGTGTCCACATTGAGCTGCATACCCTGCATTTTCCAGAATTCCTTCCGAAATGAACTACTAAAGACTGGGTCGCAGTCACCTACTGTGGACAAAGGCATAACGTGCGTCTTGAAGATGCTGTTAACAAAAACCTCAACTATTGTAGCACCGAATATGGATGAGAGAATGATAAAAAATGGGCATATTTGGACAATTGGTCCACAATGATGAAGATTGCATTTTTCCCTCGACATAACAGTAATCCTTCCATGAAATCCATGGAGATCTCTGTCCAGACTCTAGTTTTTTTTTTTTGAAGTTGAAGTTGTCAAGACTCTAGTTGGTATCAGCCATGGCTGCAGCAGACCCGAACAACTCATATTTTCACCCTTGTTGACCTCAGACAACTCATATTTTCACCCTTATTTCTTGACATACATCGCCATTCAGCCACATAGCGATGGATGTCCATTCATGTCAGCAGAAAGTTCGATTGACGCTCTTCTAAGTCATGTTGTACCTAGAATGACCAACAATGGCAGAACCATGCAACTACATCTTGTTTCAGAGTCAATTTTACGTTTTCAGAGTTGATCTTTGGAAGCTAATAGCTACTCACCCTTTGTATTTCAAAAATCCATCATGTAACGAATAATGCCCTAACCACTGTCAACACATGCCACTTGAGAGATGATTTTCTGTAAAAAATCTTCAGTCATATAAGAAGATTTAATATCATCAGACCAATTCCAAAAAAGAACTGCTAGCATCATAATATGTCTGAAAGAAGGCTTCTGCAACAGCATTTTCAGTCCCCTTCTGGTACTCAATTTCTTAGTCATACCCATTAACTTAGCAAGCCATTTCTGTTCAGCTTTGGAAATGATTTACAGCTATAATAATTACTTCAAACTTTGATGGTCAATCCGAATAATGAAATGGATGCCGCAATAAATAAGGCCGCAATTCGTGCACTGCATCTACCATCGCCAACATTTCCCTTCCATATTTGGGAAGCTGTAAATTCCAATCCGATGAAGCCTTAATGGTTTAGGCTACTGGACAAACTTCTTGACACACGGCATATTCCCACACCCAAAGCGTGAAATTCTATAACAAAAAATTTACCAAGATCAGGTATAGCCAACAGTAGTGCCCCTTTTAATTCGACAAAGAAGCTGCACATCAGGAACCAAATGAAGGAATCTTTCTTCAACAAGGTTGTCAATGCTGCACTTATCTTGCCATAATTCTGGATGAATTTCCAAAATAACTTGCTAATCCATGAAATTCTTTCAAAAGCGTTCGATACTTTTGGGCACTTGATGTTTTCCATGCACTCAATCTTCTTCTCAGGGACGTCGTTGAGTCCATCTAAAAATCACATGACCCAAATAATCAATTCCGCTCATAGCAAAAGAACGTTCCAATTTCTTCACATGCAAACAGTTGTTCTTCAGAATTTACAAGGCATGCCTAACATGACCTACATGCTCCTCTTAACTCACACCATAGTTACCTGAATCTCTCACAGAAGGTCGCCATTCTGATTCGGAAGCCCAATTCCATGATTCCGATTAGGAATCTTCACGGAACTCGTTTCCGTGAAGTCTGGAATCTTGATTCTTTATTTTATGAATCTCAACCCCAACACTTATAGAATCTTGTTTCCAATATTTACTAATTCTCGATTCTGCAATTGGTTATTGAAACTCGTTTCCACATTTACCTGCCCCACACCCCCGCCGTTCCCCTCTTTTTGGTTATCTTTTTGCTTTTTTTTGAGAAGTGATGTTTAGAAGTTTTCAAGAAATCAAACTACTCGAGCTAGACACACAATCTCAAGCTACAAGGTGTAGTCATCTTTTTTTAGCATAAAATGACCAATAGAAACCAAAGTGGTGGTCCACTCTCGCCACTTAATTCTTTAAGTATGCATTGTATTGATCCAATGGATAGATTGCAACTCCAAGATGTTAGAAATAATACAACAAAATACTGTAAATGTGCATGTATGGCATGTCAGCCAATGAATGGCATTGAGACATGTATTGCTTCCCTCTCAGTTCTCTCTCGATTCCAAAGATATCGGAATCTCAATTCCATAAAATGAAGGAATCTCAATTACATAAATGAAGGAATCTCGAATCCAACTAGGTTGAAAACTCGATTCCAAAGAGCTAGGAATCTATTTAGGTCGAATCTGCATTCCTAAAATAAGGAATGTCGTCACCCACGATTCCTCTTGTACTCATATCAATTCCAAAAATAGGAATCTTCCAACCGGAGGCGATTCTGTGCTTCAGATTCCTTAATCAATTCGGTTTCCGAATCACTTCAGGTAACTATGACTCGCACTACATACTAAAAATTTCATTGGAGAATATCAATATAAATTTCCTAGCACAATTGAAAATTGTCATTCATTCATTCAGCATTAGAAAGTCTACAAGTGGTTGGTGAGCTCAAAAGGCATCACTACGAATTCAAAGTGTCCTTTGTCAGTCTGTAATGCTATTTTTGGAACGTCTACATCTCTAATGCAAATCAGGGGTCAAGTTTGGAGAAATGTCGAGCTCCATGGAGTTCATCGAGAAGTTTATAACAATGGGAATGGGAAACTTTGCCTTTATTGTAATTTTTTTTATGGCCCTCTCATCAAAACACATTGTCCAAGTGTTGCCGTTTTGTACAAGCAAGATAGATGACGAATAAGGATTAAGACTCAGTCAAATCACTCCTTACTCCATCATTTCCCACAAATTTTTTTCAATTTTGCTCTTTTCAAAATAGCAATACCAATAAGGTCATACATTAGTGGGCTTACTCCCTAGATCCAATTAGATTGGGTGGTTATTGCTACAAGAAGGAGGATGCCCTTTCGATTCCTCGAAACATCAGTGTTATCATTCAAGACAACTAATAAGTCCTCCATCTAGTTTCTCAAATCCCTGGTATGCTCTAATGTGCATAACTTAATGTGCACACTATATTTGAGGGGTGTGCCATGCCCCACGCGTTGGCCTGTGCAGTGTGAGGCCTTCAATATGGCGCACTGTGTGGTGTGTCTTTGCACAATGACTGCACCAACCCGTGTGTGGGGGTTTACCTGGCATGCACATCCCACCAACCCATGCGGTGCTGGTCCTTGGTGAGCACCACGGTGCACCACGAGGGGTCTGCCTTGCTCCACGCACCAACACGGTGCGCTGTGCTGTGTGCCTTCACACCATTGCTGCACAGCTATGCGTTCAGGTGTGCCTCACACGCGCATCCCACCGGCTCGTGCAGTGCAGGGCCTCGGTTAGCGTCGCGGTGCACCATGATGAGTGTGTTGCGCTCCATGCTCCGGCCTGTGTGGTGCCAGGCCTTTGACACTGTGTTGTGCAGCATGCACATATGACTATTGACCATCTCCATTCCAATCTTCCTAGAGCTGTATAGGCCGTGATTTTCTCCTCCATAATTAAATTACATTCGAAGGATTGAGAAATTCCACTTATTTCTCCTCCATAATTAAATCACATTCTAGCCATTGGGCTCCCAAAACTACATCATAGACCTCCAGAGGCCGTACATAACAATCAGCTTCGCAACAAGATTTTCATGATGTAATTGAAAGCTTGCAGCACATACCTTGACTAGAAAGTTTACCTCCATCGGCAACCATTACATCATAGTTGCTTCATCTAAGATCTTCAAACCCAACTGTTTTGCTAGTCCAAGATTAATTAAGCTGTGTGTACGTCCCGAATCGAGTAAGATGGGGCCAGAAGTCTTTTTAACCATTCCAAAAATGTGCATGGTATGCGGTTAGAGAGAATCAGTCATCACATGGATTGATGCAGTGTATGTCTCCTACGTTGAATCATTTTCAGATTAGTCATCTTCAAATCCCATGATCATCGCTAGTGGCACCTAGCATTCGTGCCAAGGAACAAATTGGACACTGCAATTAAAGCGTAGCTCCTTTTTTCACTTTTCCGCAGCCCTAGATTTGGTCTGCATCACGGGTGCCACATTTCTTCTTGCAACTTGGCTAGTTCAAAAGCATGAATTAGCATTATAAGTCATAGAATCTGAACCCCCACCTCTAATTCCTCTTTCAAACCTGATGTGGAACAACTAACCAAGAAGGGTTCTAATAAACCTCAATTGGCCCATCGTTCAAATCTGCTTTGATACTTGCATAACAATTTGGCCTGTTGAAGCTTAGAAAGTGCTCCTCCATGATAGGCCTGCTCATGTGATCTAAATCATGCAGAAAGTGCGTGTGCACATTAGGCTAACTCATCTCCCCAACCATCTTCTGCATCCATTGAAATCATGGAATCACATATCCCGTGAGAGGCACTGCGGCTAATAAAACCATTTGTTCATTGGAAATTTGGTTGATCTTGAACTGCTCAGCCCTAAACACACAGTCAACAGCATCCTTCCCTTCAAATATTTGGAACTCCACCCAAATAGTCAGTGCTTGGATGGTCATTCCCCCTAGTCTTGCATTTTCTAGCGCCACACCCTCATATCCAAAACCTAGTTTTGAAGTGTCCAATATGTGTCTTAACGATTTATCCATTGCCTTTTGATGATGGACTAACTATCCCAAGGTTTGATCATGAAGATCAACCTTTTTTGCCGGTATATGCAACTCCTCCGTTCCTAATCGGGCCAACTCTATATAAATCCGTGATGTTCTTTGCTCGCTCTGATACCAAATGATATGTTCCTGCATGTATTGCATGGTTTGGTTCCATTTTTCAAGGGAAATCGTGTCTCCAGAAAAACTATTCTTTATTGTCTTTCAAAGAGTCATACAACATCTATGAATAGGAGAAGAGACCAAGACTTATAATACACAACTAATATAGACAACCCACACAACTCACAAAATCTATATTAATCACCTACCAGAAATAGAAAATAACATAAATAGACAATGGAAAGGGGGCATATGATGATAATCATAGAACTAAAACACCAAACATTCAAAAGAATGACTAAAAGGGCAAATAAAATATACCAAAAAGTTAGAAAAGGCCTTACTCTGAAAAAATAATTGGTATTAAAGCAACCCAATTTTACAAGCTTAAAAATGTGTTCCACTGTTTTGGGGGCAACATGTGGATAGAACCCGAATTCGATATCGCCATAATTGGTCTGCATGGTAAATATTAAAAATTAAAACTTTATCTCAAAAGCCCAATACTACAAACAACAAGAACAATCAAATTGTAGCAAAATTGTCTGGAATACAGACTCTGGATAGTCTGAATTTGTATCAAATAATTTAATAATTCCCAAATAATCCAACAAAGGGAAGAAGAATATGAAATCCACTTTAGTTGGTCTGTATACGTATAATAATAGAAACATGTAGCACTCAATCAGCACAAAAAGGTGCCGATCACTCTGAGGTGAATAATAATTGGGAGCTTTTTCATTTTTAATGACAAATTATGCACATTATCATTCCACCGATCCATTGCAAAAGTAAGATCTTCTCAGTCTGGTCTCTTCCATTGTCTCTAATTTAAATATATTAATCATTTCATCAGTCGATTTTTCAAATAAAAGCACAATGTATTTCCGTACTAAAGCTAAATTTAGAGTAATATGAGAGCAAGAACCAAAAAAATCCCTGACAAAGATGATCTAATCCATGGAAGCAGAAGCGCATGAATAAATGAAAGAAATGGCAGGACCTGGAAAACCACACGAGCTGTACCCAAACTGGGATTCTGAGCGCAGCCATGAACGAATGCCCCGATGAAGCAAAGAAGGAACGAAATTTCGGTCCTCGACATTGGTGAGATTTCGGCCAAACCGTGGGTAAGGCGTTTACCCAAGTGCCGTCAACGGGTGGATAAAGGGTTTAAGCTGGGAAAGGTTTGTATACTTTCCCTATAGTATAGCATATATATACTTCCCCCTCATCCACTCGTTCAATTTAGATCACCTGACCGACTCACCGTTTGATCTAAAAATCATGTGAATATTAAATTTAGTGTGACACATATTCTCAATGGAGCACAACTAAAAAACTATAAAAAAGAATTTTTCAATAAAATAATAACCAAAATACCTATTGAAATTTTTACGGATATTTTGATCATTTTATTTTATTAGAAATATATTTTTACATTTCTTACTCGTGAGAGTTTAAGAGAAGAGTGGACGCCCAAAATTTAATGTCTAAATAGTTTGTAAAAAAAATATTAAAAATAAAATAGTGTAGAGACATGACATTGTAATTGAGACCATCTCAACCATTCATTTAGAATGGACGGTTGGATAAAAGAAAGTATATAAGTTTTATATTGTAAGGGAAGCATAGAAAGCTTGCCCACAGATAGTGTGTAGAGTTTATTTCTTGAGAAAGCTTTCTATATTCCCCCTACAACATAGAAGTTCTCCCCTACCATCCAGCTGTCTTTTTTTATCATCAGAGCCACTCACCGTTGGATCTTAGATCCGACGTCTCAAAGTGTTTTTCTTTTAGTTTTTTTAATACAATTTATTTTAATATGAAATTTGATACGTGCCATATTCTCATTGGGGCGCACCTATAGAAAATATTAACAATAATTTTTCGATAAAAATAATGACCAAAATACCCCTTGAAACTTTCAGGGGTATTTTGATCATTTTATTTTATTGAAAATATTTTTTTATATTTTTCGTTAGTGCGAGTTTAATAGGGGAATGGACATCCAAAATTTGGTGTCAAAATAGTTTATAGAAAAGAATTGAAAATAAAATAGTATAGAGATGTGACATTGTGATTGGGGCAATCTTAGCCCTTCATTAAAAAATGGACGGTTGGACAAGGGGGAAGATAGAACTTCTATGTTGTAGGGGGAACATAGAAAGCTTTCCCTTATTTATTTTTCCATTATTACAATCGGATATATATGAAGATATTTAAGTATGGTCATGGGTGGTATCACCATGCAGGAAGGCGATAATGAGAGAGGATTACTTTGTGGTGTTACTGTGCTCGTGGGTGCACTTCCTCTCTCACTGTGACCATTCAAGAATGAATCAACTGGATGTGATAACCCTCGGGGATATTTTTATCTTACATTCGGTTGTTAGATTGCGTAACAGCTTTCCCTCCATTATAATGGTTGTTTTTTTTAAGAAGGGAACCTTGCTTTTCCAACATGTGTCTCCCTTCTCCAACCATTGCTTTCCGTTATTGAACCATGACACCCTAGAAATGCGCTTACTGCCCTTCAATCCTTGATTTACTGCCCTTCAATCCGTGATTCTCTTTCTCAGGACTACAATCGAGACATGAGGTTTTTTTTTTCTTTTTTGGGTGAGTTGGTGGGGAGAGGGGCTCTACCCTTGGTAGGAATTGAGCCTAGGACGTAGCATTGCAATTCGTCAAGCGCTAACCAATTAAGCCCGGGCCCAACTAAGACATGAGTTTTCCAACTTAGAATTCACTTCTCTCTAACAAACGTCTGTCCATTTCTCCTTAAACTCCACTCGTTGTGTAACTCTATCTTCTCTATATAGGGTTTCTCTATCATAGGTGCACCTCTTGATAAGTGGTTTGGTACAGACAAGGTACCTTTTTCCTTCCCTATGGTGATGACTGCAGAAAATAAGGAAAGAAATAGAGTTGGGTTGATTCGAGGGAACCCACTAGCCTCCGGTAACACACCACAGTGCTGTAATTAATCCCATGCTTTATTCAATCAAAACACAATTTTAAATAAGTGCTAACCTATCAGAAATCCTAAACAACAGCAACAACTCCTAAAGAAGTGCAACAAAAATCCTAAATAACAGCAAAAACTCTTAATAACAAAGAAAACCGAAAATATTCATAACTTTGTCAACTTGACTGCTTCAGCCGGAACCGAATAACCACTTCCCATGAAAGACTCCTCTTTCTCCTCTTTGGCCTGACACCTGTATGCAACCTTGCTACGTTTAGTTGCAGCCTTGCCCACGTATATAACAACTCCTCCCCTCTTAAATTTCGCCCTTGTCCTCAAGGGCAAGTTCTATAAATTGTTGTTTCATAAAACTAAGATCTTTCCACGTGGCTTCTGCCGGTGAGAGCCCTTGCCAATGGACCAGTAGTTCTTGATTCTTCTTTCTTGTTCTACGATCGAGTATTGCTTGAGGTTTAGCAATCAGCGCCTCATCACCCTCTCTGATCAAGGGAATTTGAGTTTGAACAGTAGTATTCATCCCAATTTGCTTTTTAAGGAGAGAAACATGGAAAACTGGATGAATTCGAGAGTTGGGTGGCAATTCCAATTTGTAAGCCACAACTGCAATTCTCTTTAAGATCTTGAAGGGACCGTAATATTTTGGAGATAGTTTCAAATTCTGTTTCATGGCCACAGATAATTGCCGATGCGGTTGCAACTTCAGATACACCATATATCCAATTGAAAATTCTCTCTCTTGGTGCTTGCTGTCGTAGACGCATTTCATCCTAGCTTGTATCTCTTTGATTTGGTCTTTCAAATCCTTGATAACCTTGTCTTGATTACATAATTATTGTTCCACTGCAGCGACCTTGGCTGTTCCTGGTACATAGCCTAGAAGAGTGGGTGGGGCTCGCCCATATGTACATTTGATGGTTGAATGCCAGCTGTATTGTAGCAAAATTCTGCCCACGTTAGCCACTTGGCCCAGTGTTTTGGTTGAGAGCTAGTAAAATAGTGGAGGTACATTCACTACTTCACTTTGTCCGTCAGTTTGGGGATGATATGTTGAACTGAAATTAAAATCTGCTCCGGTCAATCGGAACAATTCTTGCCAAAAAAGACTCGTAAAAACCGGATCTCGGTCACACACAATTGATCTAGGCATTCCATGCAAATAAAAAATCTGCTCAAAAAATTTGAGCAATACTTACAGTTGTATAGGGATGGGTTATAGCTGTAAAGTGTGCATATTTAGATAGTCGATCTACTACCACCAATATGGTAGATGACCCTTTTGAATTTGGTAGCCCATCGATGAAGTCCATCTCAATATCTTCCCAAATCTGGTTTGGTATGGGTAGCGGCTGAAGGATTCCAGTAGGGGCGAGTTGCTCCACCTTGTGACGCTGGCAAATGTCACACTGTTTAATGTGGTCCTTGATCTTTTGACGTATGTCCATCCAGTAGAAATTGGAACGGATGTGGTGGAGAGTTTTTTGACATCCTTCATGCGTGCTTCCATGAAACAGTTTGATTATATCATCAACCACAGGAGAGTTGTTTGTCAAATAAATTTTGTTTTTGAAAAACAAAATTTCATCTTGGATTTTCTAGGGCTCAACAGCTTCCCCTTCCTTGACAAGCTGTACTAGCCATTGAAGAGTTGGAATTTTCCCTATTTCTTCCTTGAGTGCGTCTACCTAGTTAGGTAGAGGGCGAGAAAGGGCTATAATTTCTCCTTGGCTTACTCCTTCCCTGCCTGAAAGTGCATCTGCTACCGTATTTTCTTTTCCACTTTTATATTCTCTGACAAAATCAAAGCCCATCAATTTGTAAATCCATCGCTGTTGTGCTACCATCGTGATTTTCTGAGCCCACAAGTGCTTGAGGCTTTGGTGATCAGTGCGTACTATAAACTGCCCTCTCAGAAGCTATGGTCGCCACTTCTAGACTGCTAATACGAGGGCCAAGATTTCTTTCTCATATGCAAAAAACATGAGATGATTTCCTTGCAAGGCATGACTAAAGAATGTGATGGGTCTTTCTTGCATTAAAACGATGCCAATCCCTGAACCAGAAGCATCGCATTCGATAATGAATTTGTTTTGAAAAATCTGGAAGAGCTAAGACCGGTACACATGTCATTGCTTTCTTGAGTCGTTGGAATGCTTCCTTAACTTGTGGAGTCCATAAGAAGGAATTCTTCTTAAGCATTTTAGTGAGGGGGTGGCTATTTTGCCGTATTCTTGGATAAATTTTCTGTAATAGCTGGTCAACCCTAGGAATCCAAACAAGGCTTTAGGCGTCATGGGTTTCGGGCATCCCAACATAGCAGTTATTTTGTCTGGGTCCACTGCCACGCCTGCATTGGTTATGATGTGTGGTCAAGGTACTTAACTTCCTTTTGGCCAAATTGACATTTTTCAAGCTTTACAAACAACTGGTGAGTTTTTAAAATCGAGAGAATACACTCATAAGTGTTTCATATGTTCCACCCAAGTCTTGTTGTAAACTAAAATGTCGTCAAAAAAGACAAGGATAAATTTTCTCAAATATTGTTTAAATACCTTGTCCATGAGAGCTTGAAAAGTAGAAGGTACGTTGGTGAGACCAAAGGGCATTATCATGAATTCATAGTGGCCGTGATGTGTTCGGAATGTTGTCTTCTCCACATCCCTTGGAAACACTCGAATTTGATGATAACTTGAGCAAAGATTTTCGAAAAATATTGTGTGTCATTCAATTCGTCCAGAAGTTCATCAATCAATGGAATGAGAAATTTATCCTTAATTGTAATTTTATTCAAAGCCCTATAGTCGACACAAATTCGCCACGAGCCGTCACGTTTCTGTACTAAGATGACCGGTGATGAATAGGGACTATTGCTTGGACGAATTACTCCTGAAGATAGCATCTCTGTTACTAATTTTTCAATTTCCACCTTTTGATGATGTGGATATCGATATGGTTTTACACGGATTGGGCTTTTTCCAGGCAGTAGAGGAATTTTATGATCATGGATGTGTGGAGGTGGTAGGCTCTTATGTTCACTGAACACTCTGTTATATTTATCAAGAAGTTGCTGCAAATCTGCAGAGACAGGAGAGCTAGTGGTCTGAAGTTGTGGGGCCCCCAAGGAAAACAGTTGTAACAAAACACCTTTTTTCTTTTGAGCCAGACGTTCCAATAGCTTACCACTTCATTATTTGGTACAGACAAG